CTTCAAAGAAGCTAAGGTATCTTTAATTCATGTACTGTAGTGGTGCATTAAGTCTACTTCTAGTATTACAAAAGCAAAAATGAAAACTTTAGCACACAAAAACAAATTTAATATTCTGAAGTAAACTACTGTTGCATAGGTCACATGTCCCTTGCTGCTTGCCTGTCATAGATATTTACATATAAAATCTTAAAGTCCCCTATTCCAGTGGAGTATTTCACATATTTCTCACAGAGAATTTAAATATTTTGGATTTTTCAAATCAGGAATCAGGAATTATACTAAGATTTATAAAGTATATAAGATAGATGTTAGCTTGACAACAAACAGACATAATACTGCTCTTAAAGTCTTGCAACCTATGTTAACTGCCTAATGTATGACACTTGAAAAACAATGTTATGCAAAATAACATGATGAAATACAAGGAGCAAGAATATTTCTTGTAAAATGATAAAACAGCTTGTTATCACATTTTAAAAGAGTCAAGGGAAAAAACATTGATGGAGAATTTTGAAAAACAATAAAATAATGCAATTGATAAAAAAATGAATTGCTAAACATTGCAACAGATGTAAGTGGACTCTGCAGGATGCTAGAGAAAGAGAAACCACAATGCGGCTGGTACACAACAACTTTCATAGTAAAACTGACAAATAAAAATGTTAAAATGAATTTAATATGGAAACAGTATTTTAAAAAATTCAGGAAGAAGAGGCAAGTAAAGAAAATGTAAAAGTAAGTACAAATCATGGGAAGTGAAGTGTTCACTACTTTGAGTCAGAAGTAAGTTGAAAGAAAAGGTCTGAGATTGAAGGAGTACAGAATAAAAGAAGTATCAGGTAGACTACAAACGGGCTGGCTGCTACAAGGATAGCCATGTCAAGCAAGAATTCTAGAAGGCATCTTTTAAATAGTCAGGGAGAAATTTGCAGTAGGACTGTCACCAACAATTTGATGGTAGGAGATACTGAAGATCAAACAAAAAAAAAAAAAAAAGAAGAATCAACATGCCTAGTATAGTTTCATAGAATGATTTCAATGTAAAAATTCATGTGGCAAAAACATGTGTATATAGTATTTTAACAACATTAAAAGAAAAATTTGATTTTAATTTAAAAGTGCACTTGCAGATAATCGCTTTATCCCATACATACAATAATTTCACAAGTTAAATTCAGTAAATATAATACATACAATAAATTCACAAATATGTGAACATGAAGTTTTCCCCTGAAGAAGCATATATGTAAGCAGAAGTTAAGCAGAAGTTTCCTACTGAATGACAGAGAAAGAGTAGGCTGATTTGCCTCCTTTGGTACTATCATCACCCTGTAACACTTAGATGTAACCCCTAGAGCCAGGAGTTCTCCAAATTTACTAGAAGTTTGAACTGCCTCCAGTAAATACAACCCAGAAAGGATTATTCTTAAGTACTGTTTCTTGGGATGGAGGAAAAATTCTTAGCCATAGACCCAAATTCTGCCAAAACACACACAGTATTTTTTCTAGAATGAGCCTATTTGACTAGATGATCATCAAGTTGAAAGATTTTTGATGACTTTATATCAATCTCCCTAGTGGGCATGACTCCTTGTAATACCTGGCTTTCCCAGATTGCTGTACAAGTTGCAGAGCAAAAATAAAAGTGTTGCAATACTGTCAACCTCTATTAAAATAATTAGAATTTGGCATTATAAGGCACATATTTGAATAGTTTGTTTACACATATATAAAGTCCAAAATCAAACATACAGAGATTCATACAGGAAGAAAAAAGACTAAAGTAGTAAACTAGCACAATATATAGTAACTAAGAATGTTATGGTAAGTTATTTAAAATAACACCAGTTAATAATGAGAAGGGCCAAAATATAAAAGCATTATAAATTATATTCTAAAATATATAATTTAGAGCTCTAGGAATGAAGATATCTGTTTACCTCAACTTAGAAAAAGACAGATCATTATCTGGTTGCATTAGACAAATGCAGCTGTCTACCAGGTTGATAAATAGATGATCTAAGACCGTCTTGGTAAGCCAAAATGGTCATCTAATCTTAATGAGTTTTTATAAATGAAAACATTCTCAGACAATGCAAAGGAAAAGATCACCATCATTCTTGGTCAATCTGTTAGCCTTGATCAGCATATTAATAGGATAAATCAAACCAAGTTAGTCCATTAGGTTGGATATAGTTGACTGTAACCAGAGATTATTCATAGATACTTCTGAACTGACCATTTGGTAATCTTAAGCAAAAATAGCTACTTAATTAGAAATGTAGTGTGCAAATATTAGTGCATATTAAATCAATGTGCTTTAAAGAAATATACTGCTGCATAAATACCATTTTTTATGAATAAATGAGCTGTGCGTTTTGGGCTCTGCAAAGTTTTCCAAAATTTCAACACAGGGAAAGTCTTTCAAGACAGAATGCAATTTTACAGGTAGGGAAACAGGTGCAGATAAATACACTGGCACGCTAACCTGTTAAAGACATCCTAAGGCTCTGTCTTTTTCATACAGTAACATATATGTGCAAAATATCTTTCAAATAATACACTGAAACAAATGCAATGTATAAATTTGAAAACATATGATCATTGATTTTTGTCCTTCAGCACAACTGAATCAGAACAAAGATCCATCTAATCAATAGCAGATAATTAAAAAAGGAACAGAAAACCTACACTAGCAAATAATGATAATTTATATCATTAAATATGTAGTTACTTTTTTGTGCCTCAGAATCTTACTATACAACAATCAATGGCCTCATACAAGGCAACTGCCTATACTGAAAACACAGCCTCTAATAGAGAACAAGTTAGTTTTTCTGGCTGATATATAAAATTCAACCACAATTTAGCCAATAATATATTAACAAAAAATCAGTGGCAAATTAACAATGGCTTCTATGAAAATAATGCATAAAAATACAGACTATATAAAGTAGAAACTCCATCTATCACCAATACAAACAGTTATATAATGGACCAGAAAGGATTTGGCACTTATTTAAACATACCTGAATTTCTAAGTGGTTATACAGCACTAACTGAAATTGTAAGTGTTAAGAACTGTAATAACAGGAACAAAACTCTACATGACTGACTGCTATCTCAAGTTCTTTACCAGGAACAGCTTTTGCAAAGTTATAGTTTGTAGGAGGGGGACCGAGTGAGGCATAAGTGTGACACTGTGCAAAGCAATACAGATATACAGCGATATTCTCCAAACTGATTTAAGCTAAAATATGATCAACTCAGACAGCCCCCCCGCCCCAAACCTCGTCCTTCCTGCAAGGACATGACAGCGCTGAGGTGGTGTCAATTTCCAACCCCATGCTTACTTAGTTTAAATTAGTTAATTTGTGACTTAAATTTGAAGAAGGAACTCTTAATTAGGAAGTTAAATGTAAAAATCTGCTGCTGCTCATGCTGAGATTTACAAGATTCTACACTGTATGATGAAGCAGTAAAAAACGAATTTGTTTTTCCTGACTTCCAACGCCACTGTGGCATGAAGAGTATATGTGCAGAAGAGAAGAAATTTTTCTAATTTGTGTTTAAAAAGAACAAAATTTAAGCGATGGTATGAAAGCCTTTCTGTATTTCTGAATTAGAAGACACCGAATAACTCTACTACTCTTATGATATAGAAGACTGAAAGATTAAAATAGTTTAAGATCTGTTAATAGAAAAGTCCTTTTGAAAGAAATCTGTTTTGGACAATGACTCTCAAAGACATGTTGGGAGAAATGTAAAGGAGAATTCAAGCAATAAATATCTTCAAGAATACTTATGGCAGTTCAAATTGCTGATCTATGATACATACTTTAATATGCACTTTGAAAATAATATTTGTGTAAAACAAACATCGACTCACAAAAAAGACACAGATATGCACTCAGAATCAAAACTTTCAGTTAGTTAATACAAACCTTTACTAGCTTTATCTAAATGCCGAAAATCCTCAACAAAATTTAGGACATCCTGATACCTTTCTTCACATACTTCTACAAGAAAATGGAGCAACGTTGTTTTTTGATCTGCTGACTTTGTGTCTTTCAGCTAGGGGGAAGAAAAAAAAAAGTTAAAACATTGAGAGTAAGATTGTGTCTAAATATTTTCATAATTAATATAAACTATTAATTGTGAATACAAGAAAGGTAAGAATGAACTGATGAACTGGTACAGATCTTGAATAAAATCCAAAGTAGTTGGCTGTTTCATTTTTCCCCTTGTTAAAAATCCTTACAAGAATCACATTAAATATTTATGCTTTCATTCTATGCAATGTTTGAGTTTCCACACAGTACATATTTTTCTTTGTAAGTTTAACTATTTAAACAATATAGAAGTTTTGTTAGCAAAACCGTGAGTTAGATTTTTGAAAGTGACAATTATCAGAACTAAATCGGCAACATTTAACAATACATGACACACCAATCCACACCATGACATGATTTCACTCCATGTGAAAGGAATTCTACCCTAACAACACATACAGCAGCAGCAACAACCCCAGCCTGCAGAAGTGCTAGCAGCCATCCGTTCTCAATACAGCAAATGTTTGTTATTCAGTATCTGTTACAGTACAGACTTCATTGTTTAATAGCGTTTGTGTTCCAGCACTCTTAACTGTAAACTTTTCTGTCTGAACCCTATATACAATGAACATGATTTGAAGTTCCACAATTTTAAAACTCGTATCTATTTGTATAAAAAGATTAGCAATGACAATAAGCAAACATTCCATTATGTTTCTGTTGTAGCTTTCCCTGTTTGGGCTAGTTTTTAAAACCCTCAAAAGGAGAAATATTTTTAGAAATAGAACATGATATTATTTGTCATTTGGAAATAACATCTCATAGGAAAGTGCTTCTCTACTATCTTTTCAAATCTATTTCTATATAAGAATTTCCAGAAAAAAAATTACATTTACACTGACAAACATGAAGTGTGTGTATGTATTAAAGGGTTGCCAGATCGCACACAGTATATTTGAGTATCTTGTAAAAAAAAGTTAGTAAAATATTATAATTAGCACTAAATAAATAGAAAATTTATGTTAGCTAGTTTCAGTTTCAAGATTGTTTCTTAATTTAGTTACCATGAAAAACATAACTGATTGGCAATGTAAAACAGTAGGAGGCTAACTACAGCCAAGAGGCAGAAAGAAAGGAAGGAAGAAAAAGTTCTTTCTTTCAGGAAAAAAAAAAAAAAAAGGTTCACATCAAGCACAGGGCTATCCGGTGATTACTTCTGAATGAGAAAGTGAAAGCAGGGTCAATCTCAACCTAAATATTCATGCACATACATAATTCTTACATTACAATACAATTCCTAAGGTTGCCAATTTTTAATAAGATAATTTGTCTGCACTTGTACTTCCCAGTATCCTCAAAGATCACATAAAAGGTACTTTAGTGATGTAAGAATCAGATAAGAGTATATTCTTTGCTCTTCCCTTATTCTCAAATTCAAATGGAGCATTTTGTATAGGAAATTAGCACTGAAGTTGATATTCCATATTTCACTACAAAAATTCAGATATTATTTTCAAAGATCAAGATGATACTATATTTGTTAATATGATGACATATGCTCTTCCAGAATATATCTTTTTTTTCCTTTAGACAAATAGATTAATAATGTGAGACAGCAGAAAATGGAATTTATATACATCAAAAATAAGAAGTATTCTAGGGTCTTTACAGTGTGCAGTGTTATAAAACAAATGACGTATACTGTACTAGGCCTCTGTGATAAATGTCTCAATTATTGGAGCATCATACAAAATTTCAACTGTGACGCTTCTCTTAAAATATACAATTTTAAAAAGTTAGGTTTTAAAAACCAATCAAGGTTATAAACATGCATATATATTTTAATATGTTGGCATTTAATAAATGATATGGTATTAGCACATTGATATCGTATCTCTTTTCTGAGAATATGCAGGTATGTCCTCTGATGCAGAACAACTTACAGTTCAATTCTGCATGGTGCAGGAAGGAAAGTGCAAAGTGCAGAAGTATGCAAAGGGCAAAGTATGAACAAATTCATATAGTTCCCTAAGCACAGTTGGTCACCAATGAAGAATAGCAGATATATCACCTATTCTACAAATATTACAGAAATCAACATCTTTGAAAGGCAGAAGCCAATGCAACTTTTGTAAATTCTGTAGAACCCTACTGAAAACTGCTGTGAAGCCAATCTGCAATTTGCAGCTTTCTAGTTTTAGGCCTTGAGAGAGTCGCAGTTTGTGTGATTTTTTTTTCCTGTTTTAATACTAACATTTTTAATAGGTGAAGAAGTTTATTATTCTCAGAACAGAGAAGATTCTGCATTAGTCCAAACACTATACGAAGTAAAGAAAATCCCAAAGCTTATGCATACAAAGTTTTACCTCCTTGTTTCCAGACAAAGTGATTTGTGTAAGACACTATTTCATAATCAGCGAAGGCTTGGCGCTCACGGACTTCCTAAATTGAGGCCACAATTGGATGAGGTGAATTAGAAATTAGTGACTCGTGCCGTGAAATTCATACTATATAAGAATCTATCCAGAAGAGCTATACTCTTTAGCACACTTTCCTACTTTGTTCACCAGAAAGACAACTACACGCAGCAGTAGTTGACAATTTCCCCTGGTTTACAGAGTTACCTTAAAACTAACACCACGACTAGTCAAGGCATAGATGACTATGGGGCAGGGGGGAGGGAGAAAAGAAAAAACCCAGTGCAGTACCTGAGTTAAAAGCATTGGAAACGAAGACACTAATCTCCTCACTTACTCACTCCCTTGAAAAGAAGTTGCCCTTGTAAAATATGATACCAAAGTAGTTACAAATCTGAGAAGGCCATCATGATGATGGTTAATAAGATATCTATAATTTAATGAATGATGAGTCCATTAGATAAGGGTATGACCGCATGTTTTCAAGCAAGTTGATGGCAGCTTTCTTAGTTAAGGCTCTTAAAAGAAAAAATATCATAGTTTGTGCTTAGCATTACATTACTAGAAGGAACTAATTAGCTTTCAGTTGACTTTGAATGTGTAAAGAATAAGTATTCATCTACAACAACAGCAGACATGCTCTATATTTTAATAATTCATCCTCTGTACAATGATGTCACTATCATCTTTATTCAGAATGAGATTTAAATATCTGGTATCCTTCTAAAGTTTTATTTCAAATAGTTTGAGGGAATATAGGCACATTCACACCAATTATATGTGAAAGAATATATACTTATTGATGAAAATATAGCCTACGTTCTATTTTAAACTTCTACAGGGAATTCACATGAACTCAGTACAAGAGGTAGTTTAATTTACTTAGAAGAAATCCACAGCCAAGATCTCTTGGGGAAGAACGAAACAATTCCCATCTTCAACATTATTCCATGCCACTATATTCTTTAACCACTAGCACTATGACCACTGGAAACAATTAAGACTATCTTTAATGGATTACTAGCTCAAGGTTGATTGAGTTTTTAAATTGAACTCTACTAAGACTGTAGTGCGAGCTCAATATTTATTAAATGTTAAAAAAATCCACATGACAAAGTGTTATGACTGTCCTTACTACAAGAAACATTTTAGTTTAGCTTATTAGATGCCAGTCAATAAAGAATAGAGAAATCTCGATGGAGAAGTCTAAATTTTTTCTTTGAAATCTTCAATAAGAGAGATTATAATTTCATATTATAAATATTGAGATTATACTCTATTGCATTGCTTAACCATCTTCATATGACTAACTAGTTGATTAGCATATACTTTCCTGTAGACCATCTCTAAATAAAATCATTTAAAGATTCTAGTATAAAGTTCCATTTCCATAGTATTTATTTGGTTCAGGTACGCTTATACGTTCTGAAAGACCTGAGCTTCTCAGAGGTGGTATCTCCACATCCGTTCTCCAGAATGACTTGCACAATTCTAAAGGCTGTTTAATTTAACTTATTGCACTTATATTATCCCTCTTACAAGGGATAATTGATGATATAGTATCTAAACACATGGGAGGAGGAGATATAGACATGTAGACATCTCTAAACTAAAATTCTTAATCTAGATACATGAAGGCACTCCTTTCTCTTCTTCTAACGTGGTATTTATACAATCAGGAATAAAGGACAGACCAATGTGGGCATCTGCTACAGATTACCTGATCATGAAGTAGTAGTAGATGAGACCTCCTTCAGACAACTGGAAAAAGCCTCATGTTTGCAAGCCCTGGTCCTCGCAAAGGACCTTACGGTCCCACCCTGATACCTGCTGGAAGGGCAACATAGCAGGGCACAAGCTATCCAGGTTTCTGGAGTGCACTGGTGATAACTTCCTGACACATGTAATCGAGGAGATGATGAAGAGAGATGCTCTACTGGATCCGATAGCTATAAACAAGAAAGATGTCACTCCGGATGTAAAGGTTGGGGGCAGCCTTGGTTTCAGTGACCATGAAAAAAGTGGAATTTCAGATCCCAAGAAGAGAGAACAAGACAAAGAGTGGGATCACAACCCTGGACTTCAGGAAGGCAGACTTTGGCCTCTGCTCAGAAGAAACCCACAGGAGAAAGCCCTGGAGAGAAGAGGGGTCCAGGAAAGCTGGTTAATTTTCAAGCATCGCCTCCTCCAAGCTCAAGAACGGTCTGTCTGGATGAGTAAGAAATCAAGCAAAGGCACCGGAGGCCTACTTGGATGAGCAAAGAGCTCCTGACAGAACTCAAGCATAAAAAGGAAGAATAAAAGAGGTACAAGCAGGGACGGGTGCCCCAGGAGGAACATAGAGATGCTATCTGAGCATGTAACAATGGAGTTAGGAAAGCCAAAGCCTACCTGGAGTGGAATCTAGTAAGGGATGTGAAAGATAAGACGACCGACCTCTACTGATGTAACAGAAGAAAAGGAAAGACTATGGACAATTTAGGCCTGCTGCTGAATAGGAATGGGGCCTGGTGACGCAGGACACAGAAAAGGCTGAGGTACTTGATGCCTTCTTTGCCTTTGTCTTTACTGGTAAGACCAGCCTTTTGGAATCCCAAGAACCTGAGACCCATGGGAAAGTCTAGAGCAAGGAAGACTTACCCTCAGCAGAGGACAATCAGGTTGGGAACACTTAAATCAGACATACACAAGTCCGTGGAACCCGATGGGATGCACCCATAAGTGCTGAGGGAGCTGGCAAACACCAGTGCAAGGCCACTCTCAACTATCTTTGAAAGGCCATGGTGATTAGGAGAGGTTCCTGAGGACTGGAAGAAAGGAAATGTCACTCCTATCTTCAAGAAGGCCAAGGAGGAAGATCTGGAGAACTGCAGGCTGGTCAGTTTCTCCTTGATTCCTGGGCAGGTGATGGAGAAAAATATCCCAGAAATCATTTACGAACATATTAAGGACAAGAAGGTGATTGGAGTAGTCAGCAGGACTTATAAAAGGAGAATCATGCTTGACAAACCTGTTAGCGTTCTATCATGAGAAGGCTGGTGCAATGGACAAGAGAAAAGCAGTGGATGCTCTTTATCTTGACTTTAGCAAGGCTTTTGAGACTGTCTTCCACAACATCCTCATAGACCAACTAATGAAGTATTGCCAAGATAAGTTGTCAGTGAGCTGGAACGGAATTTGGCTGAAATGCTGGGCTAGTAGCAAAGTCCAGGTGGAGGTCAGTCACTAGTGTTGTACCTCTGGGTTGATACTGGGGCTAACATGGTTTCACATCTTCATTAATTATTGGGAAATGGGACAGACTGCACCCTCACCAAATTCGCAGATGACTGAAAACTAGGAGGAGTGGTTGATACAACAAATGGTTGTGTCACCACTCAGAGGGACCTTGACAAGCTGGAGAAATAAATAGGCAGATAGGAATCTCATGGAGCCAAACAATGGAAAATGCAGTGCCCTGCACCTGGGGAGGAATAATCACCTGCACCAGCACAGGCTGGGGGCTCTGCTTTCCAGAGCAGATTTGCAGAGAAAGACCTGGAGGTCCTGGCAGAAAACAAATGAACCAGGAGCCAGTAATGCACCTCTGAAGCAAAGAAAGCCAGCAACATCCTGTGTTGCATTAGGAAGAACATTCACAGAAGGTCAAGAGAGGGAATCCTTCACCTCTACTTCACCTTCAGATGGTGGTAAGACAACATCTGCAGTGCTATGTCCATTTCTGGGCACCTCAGTTCAATACAGACAAACTGGAGTGAATCCAGCCACAGAAGAAAACAGTTGCTTATGTTGCAACTTACTTTAGAATAGGTATCGTATATAAGTATTTAAAGCATGCAGCAGCCACCTAGAGAAATACAGTGTAGATGAAATCATTGAATTAAATGTACAATTTGTTGAGAAACAAACAGAATTCGGAAGGTAGGAATTAAAGACTGAATATCTGGGTCTTTTTTTGGTATTTCTTTGGGATGATAATAAAATCCATCATTCTCAGCTGATGCTGATAATATGAATTCAGTGCAGCAGAAGGATGACAAATGCAAACTCCCAGTGATTCTCTCCCTGAAAAAAACTGTCAGCTCTCAAAAGCACAAGTTTTTGATTGCAGGTTACACTTGACCTGGGATACGCAGTGCAAGAGACAGATTATCTACAGCCATAGCTTTTGCTCTGCCTCCAAAGCCTATAATAGTCGGTCTTCCTTTACTAAAGTCAATACACATCTTCACTGTTATCAAGGTGGCATTATCTTCACTCAAAAAAGAAAAAAAAAATGAAGCAGCATGGTCTGACATTTATGAACTGTCAAACTGAGACGATATACATGAAATGCTTTGTCATTTGAACTTTATTTTTTATTGGAAGATTTCTTATGCAAATTAATTATCTTGAGTACTATGATGCATGTTTATGCACAGTTAATTCAGTCCTGAAAGGAGTAAACCAGTATTAACACTTCTAATCATATGGCATTATACAATGTCAGAATTACACTGTACCAAGCATTATGAGCATAGAGATCAGATTACCTTTATGTCCTTAACACTCTTATCTACTTCACCAACCTGATCAAATGTAGCATCATATATGCCAAACAATTTCTAATTAAAGTCTGTCAAAATATAGGATTTTTAAACTTTTAAATACAAGTTTAGAAATGTTTTTACACTCCAGGTTCTTGTCAGTCAGTCTATACATTTTCTGCAGTGCTGCTGACAAGATCTCACTTAAGGCCCTACTAGTACCAAGTAAATAGGAATAATAACTATCTTTATATTACATAGAAGGCCTTCTAAAATACAATAGGAAAATTTGGCTCTTTTGCAATAGAATTTATTGTTGAATCCTGTAACTCCAAAAAGCTTGCAAGTCTGCAAACTTAAACATCTATGAGATCCTAGTTTATCAAATGCTTTTAATGCCAGTGCACTATACACAGTCAGCCAGGACTTAAAATACATTTTCTGGAATTCTGCCTAGCCACTCATTCCTTATTTTTTTTATTTGCGCACATCAGATCCCTAAGTTTAGTATTTTGTGAAAGTCATCAAGATTTTCATCTTCTAGATCTCAGATTATTTATCCAAGACCATTTTGATCCTGCTCTCCATAGTGTCTATAACACAATTAACTTTACATCACTTATTGATTCCATAAGTATACTTTCATTTCGTTATCTTACGCATTAAAAACGCAGAGGATATAATCGGATCTAGGCCAAATTCTGGTAAAAACATATTATAAAAGTACTCCTAGCAGATAGAGAACCTTTAATTCCTACCTTCCAAATTCTGTTTGTTTCTCAACAAATTGTACATTTAATTCAATGATTTCATCTACAATGTATTCCTCTAGGTGGCTGCTGCATGCTTAAATACTTATATACCATGCCTATTCTAAAGTAAATTGCAACTTAAATATACAAAGGAAATAGGTATCATATTCAACACTGGAGAACTGTAGTGATAGAACTTTTCCGGACCATGGTAGACTAAGGCTGATTATTTTGAACAATGTAGGAACTAACATAAAAGTATTACATTTTCTTCATTGTGTAAAAAGATAAGGAAGCTATGAAAACACAAAAGAATACACCTTAACTTCAAAATAATTTATTTCTCATAATAGTTATTAAACACATGTGCATTGTCTGTGCACAGTTTGCAATGACCTCTCAGTGGGTACAGGAAAACAAAAATAAGAACAGTAAAAAAGGGGAAGGTGATTAAGCTTAGATTTGATTACAAGCTGAAACTCAGGAAAGGATGGCTATCTTGTTACATATACCTTAATCTGTCATCCTTCAGCTTTTACACAAGGAAAATTAAAGGAAACATAGGGAACTGATGAGATGAGCTAGAACATAGAAGAGTTAAGAAGTTTTATGTACAAGAGACAACATAACTGTATAAAAATAGATTAAAATGTGATAGTCTTAAAAATGTTCAGACATTTAAGACTGTAATTCTATTATAACAACACTGATATGGTCCTTCTATAACCTTATTTAATTTGGCTTTGTATTATTTCCTCAGTATAGAAACTTCTAAAAGATTATATGCCAGCCATTCTCAAAGTGACTGTATGTAGCTCTGTTTTGTTCAAGCCATCAACTACTGTTAATAATAATGACAAAACTGAAAGGAAGATATCAAAACAAAGTATTTAGGTGTGTAATAAAAACAAATGAAAGAGTGAATGTAATACGAGAACTCAACATGGACATTTTAAAACTCACTTTACACAGGGAGCTGAGGTTGTATCCAAAGGTCTGTGCATTCCGAGAACCTGCATTCATGTAGTTTCCCATTAACAATACTAGTTCCAGCAGCTTGCTGAAGCTTTTACTCTTCTTTATCTCTTCACAGGCAGCACTGACAGCCATGATGTCAGGTTTGATGTTGTTCACCTGCTCCTCAAACTGAAGCTTAAAAAGAATAGCACTGAGCCGTGGCCGTAGTCTCTTCACATTGCTCATCTGATTGAAAAGAAAATAGGAGATTTCCTTTAAAATTCATGCTACACTTTGGCACTGTACAAACGCATACAATCTGAGATGATTTATTGGTGTGACAGGCTTGAAGAAGCAATATATCTGCTATAACTGATAGCAAATGAACGAATGAATGAGAGACACTTGGGTAAGCAACTGAAATCTCATCTTGTGGTTAATAAGAACTGCCTCCATCTTCCCGTCCTTTCCCAACAACTAGTATGTGTAAGCAATAAAAGATAAAGTGTCATCATATATCACATCTGTCAACTCATATACCAAACCCTATAAAACTAATCTAAGTTTATGACCCAGTAGTTGCAAAGTAATAAAAGTAGTTTGCAAATCTTGTACAGCTCAGAATGTACCAAAACAAGGCAAATCTCATTTTCTGCTACAAATATTTTAAAGCTGATTGCAATAAGATTTTACTATAAACTTGCAGGAAAATATAGGTTTGAAGAATAATCTCAGCTATGAAACACTTATGATAGCATGTGTTTATATATGCCAGTATATGTTTATATATGCCAATCTATATTTTGTTAGATAAAACAGAATGCTCCTAAGAAAACAGCAGCTTCTGTAGATTACATGCACAAGACTCAGCTTTCTTTATGCTTTATCAGTCAAGGACTTTCAACTGGAGTTTTAATCTTCCTACGTGACCTAGGCCAATGAGTTCCCACTCCAAAGACGTTTTGCGTATTACTTCCCATATCCAGACTACAAGATTGTAAATGTTGTTACTTCTTTAAATCAAGGAACCTAGAATGCATTCAATAAAGTTAAATGCCTCCACCTCACAAGCTTCCAATGTTCTGCTCAGCCACCCAACTCTATCACAGGAATCTTCATATCTTAGGTATGGTATCACATACAATGCCAGAAGACTCCCATTTTCCATTCTTGCCCCTTTTCTCCCTACCAGGCATTTTATGCACTCTTCGTTTCCTGGAAATCACAGCTTTTCCTCCACTTTGTGATTCTGTTTGTACCCAAGACATACTCCTCCAAGCAGTTCCTTGAGCTTCTTTCCCCACTTTTCCTATCAGCATTTTCTCACCAATCTAATTAATTCTTTAAGTTCTTCTTCCCCATAGTCTTTCTCCCTTCAAGGTAAGTTCCAAGGAAATAGCACCTTGACTATTCCTGAGATCATAAAGCCTACAGAGTCAGCATCGCATTAAATATATACATATATATAATGGTTTGCTGCTATCAGTGCTTCTCAGTGCAGGAAGGGAAGGAATGATATTGGCACTTTTCCTACAAATGCATAGGTTTCATACAGAGTTGCCTTAAAAGTTCACGTTGAAATTAGCAACAACCCCCTTCAAACTACAGCAACCTCCAAGGTTTCATGGAATAGTTCTCAACCTGTACCTAGCCTAACAATGGAAAAATAGCTGTGACAATGCAAGATTCACAAGCAGTTTGCTGCTGATCGTCCCACAGCTGACTCAGTGAAACGGATAATGGTAACACTCTGCATCCATTTCAGTGTGAAGTCAAACAGGTTATCTTAAATTGATAGTGAAGGCTGTTTAATCCAAATGATTTGACATAGAAACAGAAGAGGAACAGTCTTACAGTCCATTCCACTGATTTTACCACGATAATAGTAAAAAAATAAGATCAGGAAGTGGAGTAACAACTTATGCTACTAAAGCCACTTCTACAAGGCCTGCCTGGTAAAGCAACCACCTGGCAATGGTCCTGTCGAAGTAATCTACGTTTCAGTTCAGACAAGAAATCTTGAAGTAAAATATACAATCATTTCCACTAACCATACTTTGGTTTGCATTACAGAGCACAGCATGCAAATAGGATATCTTTCAGATGAAACTAAATTGAAAAAGCAACTCTAAGGGCACACAGGACACTTCAAATACTACTGAGCTTTAGCCCACAGACTAGCTTCCAGCCCGGCCCACAGTAAAACCATCAAAATGTGAACGTTTTGGGTGTTAGCTCAGTATCAAGTGTAGGCAGATATGCTGTATTCATCACACAATAAATAGGATCCAATAGCGTGGTACATTTATTACAGAAGAACATGTAAGCAAAAATAATGGGATTTGAATTTAAACAGTGCACACCACAATGAAAGAGAAATGGGAATATCGAAAAAAATCTTAAATGAACTTAGTACTTTTACACCTATCAAGTATCATTCAAAAGTGCTCTATATTCAAGTTACTAATTAAAACTCTACTTAAAGAAATAGCTTTCATGAATTAGTACCTAAAGGTATGGTACTGCGTGCACAGAAGAAAAATTAGGTTTTGAATGCAATGTCCTTTGCTTCAATTACAGGAATGCTGCTAAATAGGACTACAGACACTATGCTATCTTAGTTATAAGGTCATTGTAGATACACGATCATTCCATAAACAAGTCAGAAAAGCATTAGTTTTTGAATTTTCACAAATAATTCAGTAGTACAAAGAGTTCCAAGCTGAAAGCCTGAAATCCCTTATCAATACCAACATCTTACTGCTTCATTGTATTATTAATTTTGGTTATTTTTATGTCATTTTAGGTTTCAAACCATCTATTAATATGAGTTGCAACTGAAACCTGATATCAGGAACAGCACATAACTTTTAGAGAAGTTTCCCTTCAATCCTCCAGGAATCTTCATGCATAATAAACTTTAGAAGGACTTCAAAATAAATTCCTCTGTTGCATTTGATCCCCAAAGTAAAACACAGAACTCCACTGAAATTATGCAGATTTTTATTATCTATCCCTATTCAGGAAGCAAGAGAGAGAAACATTCATACCAGATCACTAGAATCAATAAATTAAAGCATCAGTTCCATTGATTTTAAGTGGAGTCAAACTCAGGACCACAAGATGATGCATCACTTACTGACTCTTGACTTCTCAGATAGTTAGGCATCTTTTGCAAGCTGCTAGCCTTTAGATGTTTAAGGTTTTTCCCAAAGAAAAATTTTTTGGTTGTTGCATTAAATAAAATTCTAGGAATTTTGAAACAATTTTAACGTCTAGCAAAGCTAAAATTATGTATTTTATAACTATATCATTACAATAATTTTCTAAAACCTAAATGATTTTTTCCAATTTATAAAAGCAGTTGCAGTTAGACTGAACACCTACAAGATGGACATAAGAAATTTAAAAAGTCACTTCAAAGAGATATTTTTTCATGTAAAAACCTGAATCAAGATTTGTGACAAATATTGCCCTTATTTTATAATGTATTTGGTATATACATAACACAATCACACACATACAATTTCACAAACATTTTTATTTTAAATACCACTCAGTCAGATAAGTAAATGTTTTTAAATATAAGGACTGCACCTATTCTAGAAGCGTATGAACTAGGATTTTAATTATCAAGTTTTCTGTTTTTCCAGAAAAAGAATTTTTTTTTAACTTTGCTGTCTTAAAACAGAGCCAGAGAATAAGTGCTAGAAAAAGACATACATGTTAGTATTGCTGTGACGGAATATATTACTATGTCTCATTGAAAAGTAAAAAGTGGACTGTGAAGCACTTATTTTATCCTGAAATTGATAAATACCTTGAGAGACTTCTGCTTGCCTACCCAAAGTAATTATATGTTTAATTAGAACGTTTCTTCGTCCACTTTGTACTTCCTCCTTCTTTTTCTTTAAACTTTTATCCGTGGCGTGTTTCATGTTGTGGCATTTTAACAAGTATATGAAGTCTTAAATCTTGTATTTTTAATTTTAGTTGATTGCATGGCCCTTGGGAAAATAAAATCTCACTATTGAACTGCTGCAATTATTCAAATTCTCCTATACTACTGCCACTGCTACTATACATTTATAACTAATAATACCTTTCATTTCTTCCCAAGAGGTAATTTAAAACTTACTCACCAGCTTATCAGAATAACATTCATTTAACATACAAATTTTTTCACTCACTATAGATACCTCTTATTTTTATTCCAGAAGAGTAAAATAGCATTTGAACCATTTAACACTCTTCCACACTTTTTAAAACCATTATTTCAATTGATTGCGGGGGGAGGGAAGGACTCAGGAGAAAAACAGCTTCAAAAGAGTATCTAAAACTGAATTTGGCTCTCCAAATGTGCAAAATCTGTTTCAGGCTAGTTTTTCTATTCTTAAATGCTGTAATTCTGTTCTTAAATACGCAAGATATATTATCTACTTCAACTGACTTCAGTATGAATGTTTTGTGGAGTTAACTACATCTAATTAAAATGTTTGTCAGCACTGAAATGATGAGTTTGATTACAAAAAATGCCACAAGTACTACAGAAATTCTCATGTTTCATGTTATGTCAAACTAAAAATGAGTTTCTTAAAACTGAAATAACCAGGTACTTTGCATCACAGAGATATATTGCATGAAAATGAACAAGCACATATGCATAAAAAACACAAGGTTTTTATCAGAACGAGAAGAACCGCAACAGTCATAAAGTCAAACCATAAATTAGTCTTAGAGATGGAAACAGAAATACATTATCTGGAAAATCAGAAACAGAAGCACATACCAGAATTGCAACAGAAATGCCACTGGGATAAAAGGAGGAAAAAAAAAAAAAAGAAAAAGAAAAAATACACTCCAAAATGCATAGATTGTATACAATGCATGGCTTCTTACCATCTGTTCACCTGTTTGCTAGGTCAATAATTGAAAAGGGAATAGGTGGAGTATATGGCTTTTTTTTTGATACATAGTCTACAAATAAGTTAAAACTCTCAGGTTCATACATCTTATCGCATCAGATGCTAAGAATATAAGCGGTGCAATATTAAGAGGGTTATGTTCATGTCCCATACTTTTTTATACTCAACTAACATGTACATAAGTCTGAATAAACCTATATGGGAATCCTGAAAACAGACAATTAGAATAACTAAAAAGAGAAGTTAAGACAGAAAGTTAAAGAACTGGACTACATGCCAGAGAACTCAGTGTATGGGTAACAATTTTTTTTTATATTCAAG